GGGCATTGCCGTGGCACTGGATTGTCAGACTGTGCATTTCTGGGGCAAGTGCTTGCTCCCTTCCTTGCAAAGTGTCTGGTCCATGTGGGTACTACTCTGATGCAAGTAAGTTCTAAAACATTGTTTCTTCAATTACTACAGGTTTTCTGATCGGTCTCCAAAGATACTTGCATCTCCTGTCCCAGAAAATGAATTGTTCACATCATGGTTTCCTATCTGCCCTTCTTCCACAGACAGTTCTTTATCTCCTCAAAAAGTAACCAAATGTTGGCTTGTCCCTTTCAGATTAAAATAAATTATTTAAGCATGCCTTAGAAATTCCTGGGCATCTCTTCTATAGCTGAGGAGGTTCTCTGGGCTATTTTTCTCAGCTGGGGAGATGTAATAGGCTTTATCTTCCCATGGTGCTTCTGTACCATTTCCAGACCCTCAAGGCTCCTGGGGCAAGAATATGAGGTCAGAAATTGGATCCTGATCTTCTGTGTGGCAGTGGGCCACACCATAACATTAGGCTATGTGCTGCTATCATCTGAAAAGTGCAGCAAGCTCATGGATGTGGGAGACTGCATATACAATTCTGTAGGAATGCCACGACATGGGATTTGATAGAGATTCAATTTTCTTAGGCCCTGGTAAGACTCTCTTATACCCGCCTCCCCCCAACTCTCATTTAGAGAGGTGTTAAGATGTTTGAAATAAACACCCTTGAAAAATATTAAGGTTGTTGGTGATGGTGGTTGTTTTTGTTTTTAATTTTTCTTTTCTGGAGAAGACAACCTCAAATTAATTCCACGTGGTTCAACAGAGCTTACTTCTGAAGGCAGGGAAGGACTATGGGTTTTTCTGATGGGTTGGCACAGAGTATCTCTGATAGATACACTGCATACAAAACATGGGTATAGCAGCGCTGCTGGATATTCAGAGGACAGCTGGTGTGCCAGTTTTTGAGATGCTCTTCAAATTTAGTGTGTTGTTCAGGTTCTGTACATCTGTGTAAATAGAAGTATAATTGCCTAGTCTGCTCTCTGCTTGGTGATTATTTTGTCCACCTTTTATTTTATTGTATTGTTTCCTTCCCCTCCCTCCAGTTTTTCATTCACCCTCAGGGAAAAAAAAAAAAAAAAAAGAGACATCTATCCTATCTGTGACTGCTCACTTTGTTCAGGTTTTGTAGCTGCTCACCAAACTGCTGTAAATGAAGAGTTAAGTGTGGAAAAGATGAATAACCTCCTGAGTCTGTTTAAAGAAAAAGAAAAAAGTAGGCCACCTGTCAGGTTTGCCAGTCCAAGCTGAATTTGATGGCCTCCAGAGTCATCCTGATTACTTCATCGTCCTCTTAAAAAGAAAAAAAAAAAAAAAAAAAAAAATCCTTTTATGCTGTTTTTTTTTTTTTTTTTTTTTTTTTTTTTTCTTTTCTCCAAAACACCAAATGTAGCTTATTTCCTGTGTTTTCAGTTGAACTGAAATTAATATAGCTTTTAAAAGTGTGTTTGTGGGGAGGATTGTTTTGGCAGGATCATTGATGTTTTTATAAATTTGGGGGGTAGATTTTTAGTGGATATAAACTTGTGTTCCTGCCAGTTAAGAAATTGGTTTTGGAACGCTCATAGGTGGAAGCTTTAAAAACAAAGGTTTTGGTGCTCCAGCTACTGTTATTGACAGCTATTAATTTTCCTCATGTCACATGCAGGTTGATCTGTTTTTTATAGCGAGGGATCCTTTGTTCAGTCCCTGATGTGAAATGGTTTCTCGCAATAGCAGTAGGCTGGTCACCAACTGCTACTGAAGGGGAATACGTTACATTCTGTGGGTTTCCTCCTGCTTAGCTGATTGCTGTAGCAACCAGAAGTTAAGTAAAAAAGAAAGGGGGTGGGGAGGGAATGAAAGTTGTTAACCAGTTAAATTTTTAGTTCTAAACATATTCATTTTGTAATAACCAGGGCATAGGGTATTTCTGCAATCTAAAGGAAGAGTTCATTGGATTGTCTGTCTCTACTGATGATGCTGTGTGGTTGGTTGTGTGGTTGGTTGTGGTGTTTTGGGGTTTTTTTTCTTTGGTTTTTTTTCATGCCCCTTCTTTGATATCTTTTGTTTTTTTTTCTTCTTACCTTAAACTGGTGTAAGCTGTATTGAGTTCTATCAAACTTACTAGATATGTTTACAATAATGGTAATCTCAATTTCTCGTATTTTAGGATCCAACAAGAGTAGAGAAGACAGCAAGTTACCTAAGATGTGAGAAGTCCTCCCTTTGCAAAATACAACCTTGTTTTCAAAATGGACCGAAGTAAGCGGAATTCAATAGCAGGATTTCCACCACGCTTGGAGCGCACTGAAGACTTTGATGGTGGCACTGGAGGAGAAGGGACTGCATCCCAAATAGGAAGAGTTTGTACCTCTTCATACAGAGCCCTGATAAGTGCCTTTTCCAGACTTACCCGTCTTGATGACTTTACATGTGAGAAAATTGGCTCTGGTTTCTTCTCTGAGGTGTTCAAGGTGTGTGTTTAGTTCTTTCCTCTCTTCATGTTGACTGCTTCGTGTTTGGTGCTGAGAACGTACAGGAGTATCAGCAGAAGTACTTTTCACTGAAGTAAACTGTTTGTTCTTGTATTTGCTTTACTTGGGATGAGTGAGTGATGAAGAACTTGCAGGTCTCAAATATTTCCTTTGTCACTCTTCCAGCTGTTTTTTATCACTTGTAATTTATTTGGGGAGTTGCAGAGGCTATTTGGGAGAAACAGTAAAAGCTTAAAAAGAGAAAAGTTTTGTTCTCTGCCACTTATTTTCTCATTCATGTAGTGTATAAAGCACCAACACCAATGGTTATTTGTTCTCTCACTCACATAAGCGTGAGTGTCTTTAGTTTAGCTAGATTATTAGTGTTGTTGGATTGTACTCACTCCTGTGATCGTCTTTGCCTCCCAATACTGGATCTATGTTAGGAGATCTACATCTGATTCCTGAATTTGAAACAACAAAATTTGTTGCACTGAAGTTACAATATAATTATCTGCTCTTCTCTGTTTCCTTTGCTGCTTGTTCTGCTATGCCTCTAACACAAATAATCAGGGACTGGTTTGAAGGAAATAGTATGAATGAGGAAATCTGAGGTTGTCAGTGACTTGCTGCTAGGAATCTGGGAAGTGGGTAATATCTTTGTGAAACGATACAGGCAACCCCAGTTTTATAGTGCTGGTGATATTTCTGCTGTTCTGACTGTTCTGGTAAGGTTTATTCTAGAGGAATAGGACACTGAGATGACTTCCAGGCTTTCAGGCATTGCGAAAAAAATTTGTTTCCTTGTCCTGGTTCCTGACTTCAAACAAAGTCACCCTCCAAATTATTTCCATCTCGGTGAAATGCCAAAAAACTTTTATCTCACAATATATTATATCCATTCCATGACAATTCATGTGGTCTTTTCTTTAAGAAGTTAAACCAAAAACCATCTTATTCAGCTTTATTGATGTGAATAGATATGTGAATTAAAAAATGAAAATTATGTTGCTTTAATACCCAAAGACATTCAGATCTCTATATATACTTTTCCTCTTGTGTAAAGGTAAGTCACTCCACATAACTTTTTCTGTTTAGTTAGATAGATGAAATTTAATTTCCACTAACACAAGTTTTTAATTCTTTCAAATGGATGGACATGAAGAATTTTATTTGGGCTGTGTAGGAGATGTGGTACAGGTCAGCTCTTTATAAAGCCAGCTTGTATACCATTTGAAAACAAGGCTTTGTTTTTTCAGGTTTTTTTAATTTGTTTTTCTTCTTTTCCTTTTTGGAAAACTTTCTGTAGTGCATTTTATAGCAACTATCTTTATATCCAGACATTTCTTAATGTGGAATGAACTGATTTTTAAAGTCCTATGTGCTACTGGAATTCATCTTTACAGCTTTATGGTGAAGCTGCTGTGAAGTGTGTAAGGGTACCAATAGACTTGGGTAATCTCTATGTAACTGGGAAATAACAGACCTTGGTTTGTTTGTGTGAATTTCAGAATTTGTGTTTTGGAGTAGTTTTGGGTTAGATTTATCTCAGTGTTGCTGGTTAGATATTGTGTCTTTTCCTATTCTGTAAATTCAGGATTTTGTCCTCTTTACTACTTGGAATTTCCAGTGCTTTATCCTATAGTGGTATTGCCAATCATATTTATGTTGGGACTTCAAAAAGTTTTGTAGTCAAATAGCTACATACTTTGTGAACAGACTCACTAGGTGAAATGGCTGTAATATTCTACCATGCATTGGTGAGGCATGTCATTGAGAAGCACTCTGGGGCAAGAGGTGCTTGCATATCCTGCAGAAAGGTGTGGCATTACTGATTATTAGGAAACAAAAGTAAATGGGAAGAAAAATGGCTGAAAGTAAAGGTAAATTTCCAGCATTCATAGTAATCGATTAATTAAAAATATTTTAAGGGAGCACTTGGTTTGGACAGGTGGTGGCATACAGAGATAAATCTCTGTTTGAGAACTTGTATTGATTGAGAGAAATCCTTGGTATCTGATGTACCTTCCTCTGCATAAGTCAGTCTGTTCACTCTTTTAAAACCTTCCTGTACTTGTCCCTCTTTCAGTAAACTAAACTGGACATCACATGGTGTCAGTCTGCAGTCAGTGGCAGTGCTCCGAGAGCTACCGTAGTAGTCTGAGTATCTAGTGTCTGTTTTCCCAGAAACAACCACAGACCTCCTGCAGGGAGACAAGGAGTGATACAGCTTTTTCTTTCACATCAGTTTCAAACAAGGTCCTGCTTCAGTTTTGGCACAAAGGGCTGAGAGTGCATTATGACCTTATCTTTGATGGAGTTCCATACTCATTTAAGCAGGTTTCTGTTCTGCTAGTTTATCAGCCTGACCACCTCTGTCATTAATCCTACTGTGCTGATGATCAGATTTCACGCAGGAACCTTGATGTGCTTCCAGGAAGGAGGGCCTCATGGTTTGACACACTTAAAGTTCAGTCTGATACACAGGCTCCCAGGTAAATGATTGAACTCAAGAAAAATCCAGGATAGTTCTAGACTTACTGTGTAAGTAACTTTACAAAAGCGATGAAGCCTTCCCTTTAAATTAGCAAAGGTCTCCAAAAACCCCACGTCACCAGAGATTTTTCAGTTATGTATTTGCCTGTTGTTTTGGGAGTATCATACATTGGGTTCACTGAAGTGATTTTAGCAGAGAGTGCTTGGACTGTTTTGATGGTTTGGGATTTTTGTTTTGCTACGTAACTGACAATTGTTTTCAGTGATTTCTTCCCTGGCATCCTTTCCTTTTTAAATGTAATCTATCACAGTGGATAGAAGTTGCCTTCTCTGGGTTTGGGTATAGGAGTACATTACAGCTAGGTGTATGTATTAATGGTCATATGTGCTGTGAATGATCTTTCAGCATTTCTAGTATACTTTTATTCATACACAAATTAAACTTTGTGGTTTATTTAGCATAAAATATTAAACTAGCATTTTAATTTTCTTAGCCATCACTATAAGAATTCAAATTCACATTCACCTGAATACTCAGTATTGTAGAAATAAGCTTAGAAGAACTGAAATTTGTCAAACTATTAGCAATCTAGTTTGAAGCAGCTGACTGACTAGTGCCCGTTCTAATTTTCAAAGGCAAGTGTGGCACACTGAGGTTTGCTTTTAAGATTGAGCTTGGCAAAGACTTTCTGTAAAAGAACAATGCTCAGCCACGATCCCAAACTTCTGGCTACACAGATTTCCTGGTTTTACACTTGTGAAGCAAATTCTACCTACTAATTCCTACTGGGCTAAATGCTATTTTTGTGTGTGTGTGTGTTGTCCCCCTTCAAGCATTTTTTAATTTTTCAAGATCACTTTGAATTCTAATCTTGTCTCAGAAGTGCTTGGCCCTCCTTCACTCCCTGGTTTGACTTCAGGCAGATTCCTCCAGAGTCCTGCTTGATAATCTTACCGGTTTACCGGTGAACCACCAGCTATTCCTTTGATTCTGGTTTTACATTGCTACTTTGTAGTAGTTCCTTCTAGGTCACATTTGTCTGGCTTATTTATGGAAATGTCTTGTAAGATGCATCAAAGTCATATGAAAAACAAGATATGATGAGTCTTAGTGCTGATGTAACATGGGTACCCTTGAGAAACGAATGCTGGAGACATGTCAGTGCTGTTCTGTGATGTATGGACTCCATAGCCTATGAAACTACCGAGGTGCAAGGCCAAGTCTGAATACAAAGAGAGGGCAGTGTGCTTTTGGTTGACTTAACAAGGTGGGTGGTGGGTGCAGATGGGTTAGTATCCTCAGGATATTAATGCTGTATGTGCTTATGCTGTAAGGCCTCATATTTGAATACCCTGGAATGATGGTCCTCAATTCATCAACTGGTTGTTAGTCTTAATTTTCTATGGTCAAATTTATGTGCTCTGAGTTTCAGGAGTGCTGACTGATCAGAGAAGGTGCACCTGTTTAAATACATACCTTGTGCCTGAGGCTAGGATCCTGTTTCTCATATTTATTTAATGTCTTCAAAGTGCCTTAAAGATAAGCAGCATCCAGCTGTCTAATGTGAAAGGAGATACAGGGCTGATGTGGAGTTGTGCTCAGGGGTGATGTGAAGAACACTTACATATAATTATTTTCTATCAAATACTTGTGATGTGTTTGTGTTTTGTGTCACTTACAATACTGTGTCTCTCAGGCACAGCTGTGCTGGTGCACTTGATCTCTGGAACATCTGACTGTGGTAGATCTGAGAGATGCTACTGATCTGTCTTTCCCAAAGTGACTCATTGAGAGTTGTCTTTTTTTGTGCTTTATGACTTGATTACCATTCTGCTTGATTAACATCTCTGTTTGCGTTAGTCTATAATTTTGCAGGCCTGGAGGAGTCCAGTGCAGAAATGTTTGATTTTAAACAGCAGTCACTTTCTTCTTTTGACCTCTGACCTAGGTTTGTCAGAACTTGCTAACTAGAATAAACAGTGCAGAGTAAGAACTGTACAATAGAGTAAGTGAGGGACTAACTCATAGGACTTGGACACAAAGGTTATGGGAAGAGACGGGTCACTTGACTGAAAAAAGCCCCCAAATGTTATCTGTCTTGGTTGGCATGAATATCTGTTTTCATGTTACACTTTGACCGTTATGGCTCGTAGTTAAACTGTATGTTTAAAAGTAAAGGCATTATGGACTTCTCAAACAGTTAAGGCTTGGAAGAGTTATTAGGTCACACTGCCACATAATCAAAGGGCAGTGAATTACATTATATTATACATAATTACATAATATAAAATTAATATTTTACCAGTAACTGGTATTTTGTCTACAGCCTATATTGGCACCACATACAACATTTTGGTTTTTGCTCCCCTCACACTGCTGTTGGTTATTTAATTCCATTTTGAACTGAAGACCTCAAAGACACTGTCATGGATTCCAGTGCTCAGTGTTTTATCTCACCACTGTAAATTTGTATCTAACTCAAAGTCTCTGGACCTTCTAGTCC